TTTGGTCATGAAATCCTTGCCTATGCCTATGTCCTGAATGGTTTTGCCTAGATTTTCTTCTAGGGTTTTTATGGTGTTAGGTCTTATGTTTAAGTCTTTAATCCATCTGGACAGAATTTTCTTAAACACAAATGCAAAGTTATATCCTTCTTTCCCCCACTTTTACACAGCAGAAACTCACTCCCCATCATAAGGCCTGTTTCTACTTTGTTGTTCTTTTCTGAGATGGAGTCTCACTGTGTTGCCCAGGCTGGAGTGCAGTGGTGTGGGCTCGGCTCACTTCAACCTCCACCTCACAGGTTCAGGTGATTCTCCTGCCTCACCCTCCCCAGTAGCTGGGATTACAGGCACCTGCCTAGCACTTGATGTCAGGAGTTAGCCACGCCTGGCTCATTTTTCTGTGTATTTTTTAGTAGTGAAGGGGTTGCATCATGTTGGCCAGGCTGGTCTCAAACTCCTGACCTCAGGTGATCCCTCCACCTTGGCCTCCCAAAGTGCTAGGGTTACAGGTGTGAGCCACCATATCCAGCCTACATTTTTTTTTTTGAGACAGTCTTGCTGTGTCGCCTGGCTGGAGTGCATTGGCAAACCTCCAACTCCCTGGTTCAAGCGATTCTCCTGCTTTAGCCTCCCGAGTAGCTGGGATTACAGGCATATGCCACCACACCGAGCTAATTTTTATTTTCAGTAGAGATGGGGTTTCACCTTGTTAGCCAGGACGGTTTCTATCTCCTGACCTTGTAATCTGCCTACCCTGGCCTCCCAGAGTGCTGGGATTACAGGCATGAACCACTGCACCTGGCTGTCTACATCTTTTTTACAGCGTGTTCCCCGTAGGTGTCTGAGCTAACTTAACCAGCTCGCTGTGGGAGGCACTTTTTGCAGTCTTTGCTGTTACAAGCAATGCTTACTGCATAGACATGGTTCCAAGCTTTGCAGAAGTGTGCCGGACCTACAGATGAGGGGCAGGCAGGAGAATGAAAACCACCTCAGATGTCATCTCCCCAGCAGGGGTCCAGGTCCTCGGGCTGTGAAGGTGTTTGCCAGGCAGTGTCCAGGGCTGTTACTTGGCAGCCTCGCCTGAGCTGCTGAGAGGCCTGTGTCCCCAGCTCTCACTCATTTGGAATTTTTTCCCTTTGATGGTTGAGAAATGGTATCTCAGTGTGGTTTTAATTTGCGTTGTGGTTTTATGGGAAGAATCAGCCTCGTGTGTATCTGCTCCTGAGCATCCTACCTTCCTATCCTCTTGGGTTATTGGCCTTGCTCAATTTGTGGGAACTCTTCACATGTTGGAGAGATTGAATTGCAAATACTCTTCCCCAGCTTGTCATTTATCTTTTGACTTTGCTTAGGTTGTTTTTTATTTTTCTTGCAGGCCTGAGTTTCTTTGTTTGAATACCATTGAAAATAGGTCTTTTGGGCCAGGCACAGTGGCTCACACCTATAATCCCAGCACTTTGGGAGGCCGAGGTGGGTGGGTCACCTGCGGTTAGGAGTTCAAGATCAGCCTGGCCAAAATGGTGTACTAAAAATACAAAAAAATTAGCTGGGCATGGTGGCGGATGCCTGTAATCCCAGCTACTCAGAAAGCTGAGGCAGGAGAATCGCTTGAACCCAGGAGGTAGAGGTTGCAATGAGCTGAGATCCTGCCACTGCACT